GCTTGACTTATTTCACTCAGCATAAACTCCTCCAGTCCCGCCCATGTTGCTACAAAAGTTGGGTATTCATCCTTTCTGATGGAGGCATAATACTCTATAGTATATATGGATCATGTCTTCTTTATCCATTCATCTGTTGAAGGGCATCTTGGTTCTTTCCACAGTTTGGCGACTGTGGCCATTGCTGCTATAAACATTGGGGTACAGATGGCCCTTCTTTTCACTATGTCTGTATCTTTGAGATAAATAGCCGGTAGTGCAATTGCAGGGTCATAGGGTAGCTCTAATTTTAATTTCTTAAGGCATCTCCACACTGTTTTCCAAAGTGTCTGCACCAACTTTATTCCCACCAACAGTGTAAGAGGGTTCCCCTTTCTCCACATCCTCTTCAGCACATGTTGTTTACTGTCTTGTTAATTTTGGCCATTCTAACTCATGTAAGGTGCTTTCTCAATGTGGTTTTGATTTGAATCTCCCTGATGGCTAATGATAATGAACATTTTTTCATGTGTCTGTTAGCCATTTGTATGTCTTCTTTGGAGAAGTGTCTGTTCATGTCTTCTGCCCATTTTTTGATGTGATTATCTGGTTTTTGGGTGTTGAGTTTGAGGAGTTCTTTATAGGTCTTGGATATCAGCCCTTTGTCTGTAGTGTCATTTGAGAATATCTTCTCCCATTCTGTGGGTTGCCTTTTTGTTTTGTTGACTGTTTCCTTTGCTGTGCAGAAGCTTCTAATCGTGATGAAGTCCCAAAAGTTCATTTTCGCTTTTGTTTCCTTTGCCTTTGGAGACTTACCTTGAAAGAAGTTGCTGTGGCCGATGTCAAAGAGGTTACTGCCTATGTTCTTCTCTAGGATTTTGATAGATTCCTGCCTCATGTTGAGGTCTTTTATCCGTTTCGAGTTTATCTTTGTGTATGGTGTAAGAGAATGGTCGAGTTTCATTCTTCTATATACATAGCTGTCCAATTTTCCCAGCACCATTTATTGAAGAGACTTTTTTCCACTGTATATTTTTTTTCTGCTTTGTCAAAGATTAGTTGACCATAGAGTTGAGGGTCCATATCTGGGCTCTCTACTCAGTTCCACTGGTCTATATGTCTGTTTTTGTGCCAGTACCATGCTGTCTTGGTGATCACAGCTTTGTAGTAAAGCTTGAAATCAGGCAACATGATGCCCCAGTTTTGTTTTTCTTTTTCAACATTTCCTTAGCAATTCGGGGTCTCTTCTGGTTCCATACAAATTTTAGGATTGTTTGTTCCAGCTCTTTGAAAAATGCTAGTGGAATTTTGATTGGGATGGCATTGAAAGTATAGATTTAAAGTCGACTTTAAAGTAAGAAATTTCCATTCTAGGCTCTTTACCCAAAATGGTCCATATCTCTGATTTGCAAATAGGGCATTCTGGAAATCTTTGATGCAGATCAATAGCCTATATCAGTCAATTTAAAATTTAAATTCAGAGGTTCCAGTTCCAGAGGTCAAACTGTGACATTTGTAGTATGATCTGCTCATCTACTCCCCATTTCCTTAGAGGCAAATGCAAACTCCTCATCTTGGTTTGCAAGGCTGTCATCAACCATGGCAACTCCTCTGATTTCTGAGATACATCGTGCTGTCTCTCACATCAGGACCTTTACACGTTGCTGTTTCCCCACTTCCCTGCCCCCTCCAGCAATTGTATGCACTGTCAGCCCAGCTCAGAAAGCATTTCTTCTAAGAGATAACTCCTACCGTACCCCAAATCTGGACTTTGGGCCCCATCAGTGCCTTGCACTGTTCAGTGTCTCTCGTGCCAGACGTGGGCCACATGAGGTAGGGATGGTACCTGTGTGGTTCACCAGTGTGTCTACACTGCCTTGCCTGGGAGCTGACATTTTCAAGAATAATCTTTTCCATCACAAATAACATAAACCCAGAGAAACAGGTAATTTATTCTCTTACATAACTGAAAATTCCAGGAGGATCTGGTTTTAATGAAACCAAGTCCCCAGATGGTATTGTCAGAGAACCATCCCTTTCCGTATCTCAGGCTCCTTTTTCCTCAGTTCTGGCTTATGCTCGGGTAGGTGCCTCTCACTTAGTGACAAAGGAGCCACCGGGGGCTCCAGGTTTACATCCTACCCACTTGGCAAACCAGCAGAAAAAGAACATCCTTTCAAAGGGCTGTAGCATGAATCATGGGGCACACTCTCCTTGGCCCAGGTTGGGTTAAATGCCCAATCCTAAAGATTGGCCAGACCTCGGTAATGGATAGAAATCAATTTGCAGGGGGAAGGCAGTAGGGTCATTAGACCCAACCAGCCAGCATCTTGAGCCCTTTGAGGACCAAATAAGTACCGAGGATGGGGTTGAGGCTGATGCTGGTCCTGAGCAACTCCATTCATATCCCCTGCTAGCCTGATTTTGAGAGTACCAGACCAGTCCAGGAGCGATTAGCAAAGTAGGCAACCCCTGACCTTCCAAAGCTTCCCGCAGGCCCTAGAACGAAGCTTATTTAATGGGAAGAGGCCTGGCCCCTCCCTCAGTCTTGGAAGTGAGACCACTTTGGGTTGCTTTACCTCCTGGTGCACTGAAGGGAGATCGTAAGTAAGTGAACTGCTGCTTTCCCCTCAGGGGGTGACGGCCTTCCCAGGGACTCACTCCCACCGCTCTATTTGTGGCTTCTACATGGTAAGCTGTCATATGGTAGAAATTATAAGTAGCTCACTGGCTCCAGGTTCAGGACTTTTTTTAGCGTAGAAGTTCATTTTTTAATTTGTTTGTTAGTTGGTTGTGGGGAAAATGTATGTGATCTGAGGATGAAAATGAGATCTGAGGGGGGTGCTTTTTGCAGAGCTTTTTACTGCCCAGCTCGGGCATCGGCTGCTCAGTGTCTCTGAGACATGAACAAATCTCTTGTTTACTTGCAGAGAAATGTGCTATCAGCCAAGGAAGAGGCAGGCAGTATTTTTTCTTCCTCTGACTAAATTATTTGAGTGTGGCATGAAAACTAAAGCACCCAAAGTAACAACAGAACAGTTTAACCAATCAGACATTTTTTTCAAATTAACTATTTGTTTATTTTCTAGAGGTAAGGCAACTGAGCAACTCCAAGGGGGGGAAGAGGAGGAAGGGGAGAGAGAAAATCCCAAGCAGGCCCCAGGCCCGGCAGAGAGCCCAGCACCGGGCTCCATCTCACAGCCCTGAGATCATGACCTGAGTCTAAATCAAGAGTCAAACGGACACTCAATGGACTGAGCCATCCAGGCGCCCCCCCACCCAATTCTTTATATTAAATAAGAATTTATTGTAGTGTTTTCTCTCCATTTGGCATGTTCCTTCCTTGATCTGACCTGATCTGTCTAGACTGTGTTTAGCATGGCAACAGAGAGAGCACACACTTTGGAAACAAGCCCTCTTGGGTTCAGATCCCAGCATACGAATTCCTGGTTGTATCCCCTCAGCGGTAAGATGGAGGCAGTAATGCTGATCTCCTTGGATAGCTGTGCGGGTTCCATGAAGTGAGGGTTGTAAAGTAGTAGAGTAAAGAGGGCCGGTCCTCAGTAAACAGCGGTCATTATCATGTGCCCCGCCCCACACCGCTCTGCTGCTTGGGAGGCCTCTGTCCCTGGAGGTCCCTGTGGCCTGGCTTGGCCTGCCATCGGGTGCCCCAAGTGAAAAGACTGGTGCCTGTGGCATGCGCCCAGGCATTCTCAAGAAAGATAAAACGGCTAGTGTTTCCAGGGTGTTAAGGTTCTGAAGCGCGTAGTTAGTGAATGGAATCTTTAAACTCACACTTACTGAGCCACTCGCCCAAGCCCAGGCTGGAGGCCATCCATGCCTGTGGAGTTGCTGGCAAGAAGTTTTTCAGTCTTTTTTCATGTTGGTTTTGCTGCTGGCAGAAAAGTACCCCAAGACTATTAGCAGAAGTTTTGTGATCTCTTGAGAGGGAAGGTGCTGTACAAATGACTCAAGTACACAGAGGAATCATGCCAAAACTGCTTTTTGGGAGAGATAAACTCCAACAGTTATCATGTGGACTCAGTGATTTCCTACATTGGTAATTTCCCCCGTTAACCCCAAGCACAGGCCCTTTGTGGCCTCTGCTCAGTAGTGTTGACCCACCCAGATATGGTATGTGGTGGGACAGCCCTGGCTGCATTCCCAGGCACTGCTCCTGGCCCTCCAGGTTGTCAGTCTCCTCCCCTGAGATGTGTTTTTCATTTTATACTAATTTTTGTCCTTTTAAATCTGACTTGTGGCAGCTTGTCTTGAGGCCTGAATAACAGAAAGGATAGCATCAATCCCTTGGGAGACTGAGTCCAGGACCGGCCAGAAAAGGAGTCCATGGCACAGGATTGCCCCAGGTTTCAGGAAGATGAGCTTTGCCCTGGCCAGCCCTGCTCCTGCTCATGTGCTCTCCGTCCCACATCTGCTGTTTATGTTGAAGTGTCATGGAGGACTCCAGCCCTCCCATCCATTTCTTGACAAACAGCAGAATTTAAGAAGGGGCCTTCTTTATGCCCTTACACACCTTATCTCATGATGAAGTTACTCTTGATGAAGTTAAACTAGTTTCAGAGTGATTCTTTCTTGCTACCCTTCTCAGAGAAATGCTTCTCAGAGAGTGTCAAGTCTGATTTTGCCTGAAAGGATCTTTGTTTTGAAGTGGTGCTCAGTCCCGGGTCGGAAGACTGTCTGCTGGGTTCAGGAATGCAGATGGTGCCTGGACCTGATGATGGATCAGTTAATGAGCAAGCAGCCCCCACTGGGCTGAGGTCAGAGGAATTCTGTCCAGCCAGCAGGATTGGACTCCATCAACCAGCTGGCCCTCTAGGAATCACATGTTGAATAACAGTCCTTCATAATAACTTCTAGGGCCCCTCATCTTCTTGTGCTGAGTAGGTCTCCTGGTATTGGGGCTCCCTGGGGCGGGACAGCTGCACATTCAGGTTTTCCCATTGCATGACAACTAGGAGTATGTGCTGCAGTTGACCACAGTGTGTTGTTTCTCTTTCCAGCATCCCAGTGCAACGTCAGCTTAAAGAAGCAGAGGAGCCGCGGCATCCTCAGCTCCTTCTTCTGCTGCTTCCGTGACTACAATGTGGAGGCGCCGCCCAACAGCAGCCCCAGTGTGCTTCCGCCCCTGGTGGAGGAGAACGGTGGGCTTCAGAAGGTCAGTGCGGGCGCAAACTGCGCACTCAGCAGAGCCTCTGTGGCTGCGTATCTGTCCCACCCTTCGTGGATATCCTGAATAAGGGTCTGTGATGGTTACATGTACAGCCATTAACTGAAAGATCTGAACTGACCAAAAAGGTCAGCTTCTTTGTCAGGATATCTCAGTCATTCCCATTTAGCAACTGAAGCACATGCTTGATGACAGTTATAAGAATCACTTCACATTTTTATAACATTCTATCCTGGGTGGTTGGCTGCATGAAATGGAAAGCTAAAGAACCAGTAGCAGAGAAAGACACAGAAGACAAACAGAGAAACAGAGGCATCCCAAAAACCGATAATAAATATAAAGGGATTTAACTACTTTGTCTAATATATTTGCTATATATTCTTTAAACCCCTCAGATATAAAATTTTAAGTCAGATTTTCATAATATGTTAAAAAAAAAAAACAACTAAACTCTACCCACATGCCGCCTAACAGACATACCCTAAGCAAAGTGACTCAGAGCAGCTAAAAGTAAAAGGATGAGCAAGAAGATGTCACACAAATATACAAGCAAGAAGAAAGCAGGGATTGCAACAGTCATTCAGTCAAATAGAATTTCAGGTAACGATCACTGAAAGACAAAGACGATTATTCACTGTGAAGACAGTTGAGATTGAGGACACAAAAACCATAAAACTTTATGTCCCAAATAGTGTGAGCGAAAGACCTGAGCAAGCATTTCACAAAATAAGAAATACAGTTGGCCAGTAAACAGGAAAAGTGTTCAGTATGGTTAGTAATCAAAGAAGTGCAAACTAAAACAGTGAGCTAGCCTTTTCCATCTGTCAAATTATTAAAGGTACTAATAAAGATACTGTTTGGTTTGGATGAGGGGTAGCCACAGAGAGGGTAGAAGATGTAAATGGGTTGTTAGTAGCCATTTAATCGGTTACACCTTTCTGGAGGGAAATTTGACAATGTAATCATAAAACCTTAGCAGTTATTTATTGACATAATTATAGATGTGCAAAGATTGAACTATAGGATACTGTCCAGCGTAGGTTATAAGATTGCAAAATTGTGAGCAACCTGATGATCAACGATAGACAGTAAAACCCCACAGAAAAACCACAGTCCAGTAGTTGGTTCCAAATGATTGTCAGTTCCAAATGATGTCTCATAACTATTACTGACGTAGGGGAATGTTCACCTATGTCACTTAGGAGATAAAAAACTTGTAGGTGAGTGTATTTATAAGTATATTAGGGGATAAAACGTAGTAGGTGAGTATATTTATAAGTACACATGTAGTCATATACACACACAGGCATTTATAAGACTAGAATGATATATGCCAAAATATGAAGAGATTATCTCAGGCTGATGGGATTATATATAGGATGTTCTCCCTTCTTCTGTGCTCTACTTCTTTCTCTTTTTTCTTTTGGCTTTTCCTAATTTTCACAAAATAAGCTTAAATTACTTTTGGGATTAGAAAATACATTATTTCAAAAGCATATATGAATGTAAGGAAAAGGATTCTGGGAAGGACAACCTGAGCACGTGGCTCTGACGATTTAAATTCTCTCTCTTGATAAACCCAGGTGAGCCTGCTGGTGGAACCTGGAAAGTGCCTTAAGGCCTCTAGTTTTCCCAACATCACCAGGGGAAAGAGCAGGCACAGGATTCATCCTCTCTGGTCCTCAGTGAGAAACAGGGACCTACCAACAGAGGAAAATGCTTGCTTTCCTTGGAGTCCTGGGACAGACTTGAAGCAAATAGTCCTTTGAGGCCCCCCAGCCAGCAAGAGCTGTGGCTCTCCTTGGAAAGGGCCTTTACTGCCCACTTAATGTGTGTGGTCCTTGGAGGGGCTATATGGATGAGTTGAGTTGCTTTTACTTCTTGGGCCCTACAGGAGCTCATTACTACAGGGACTTTCTTCCTCTCTTGTGGTTTGTCAATTTGGGCTCTGCTGGACTGTGAAAACATTGCTTCTTGTGGGGCCTGGCATTGCTCCCTCATTTGCCACGGCTGAGAAGGTCCAAGTTGAAAAACTAGCATATGAGGCTCCCACTGAGGTAGAACTAGTGGAACAGATAGAAGAGAACTTTTTTTTTTTTTTAAAGATTTTATTTATTTATTTGACAGAGAGAGATCACAAGTAGGCAGAGAGGCAGGCAGAGAGAGTGAGAGGGAAGCAGGCTCCCTGCTCGATCCCAGGACCCTGAGATCATGACCTGAGCTGAAGGCAGCGGCTTAACCCACTGAGCCACCCAGGCGCCCCTAGAAGAGAACTTTTTAAAGATTTATTTATTTGAGAGAGAGACAGAGAGAGATAGGAGGGGCAGAGGGAGAAGGGGAAACAGACTCCCCGCTAAATGTGGAGCCCAGCACGGTTTGATCCCAGGACCCAGAGATCATGACCTGAGCTAAAGTCACATGCCCAACCAACTGAGCCTCCCAGGCTTCCTAAGAGAACTTAAGTAGACAACTCAGGAAATGATATTTCAAGAAATGAATTTTGAGTACAAAAGTAACTTTTAGAATTTAAAAAAGAAATCCCATGATTTCTAAATATAAAAATTCAGTAAACAAACTGAGAAAAAGGAGACTGAGGATGGTCACTGCTGAGAACTGAATTAATGTTCTAGAAGAACAAGTGGAAAAAATATCTTACAGTTCAGACCAGAGACACAGAGATGATTATTGTGAGCCAGGAAGAGGCATCTAGGAGACCTAACAGTAAGTAATAGAAGTTCCAGAAAGAGAAATTTTTCTTGAGCTGGAAAAAAAAGCCTCGAATGTGTACATTATAAGGGCTAGCCAAGTCTGCAGCAGAATGGGGGGAAGCAAATGGAGGAGCACATATATGCTGTTGAAGTTCTGAAATTTAAGTGTAAAGAGAAAATCTTGCAAGCTACCAGAACAAGATATTTTCAAAAGAAAAAGAATTATACTAGTACCAGACTTCTCATCAATAATATTGAAAGCCAGAAGACTATGAGAGAAAAATGTACAGGTTCCTGGGAGAGAATTCCAGACCAAAAATTCTATATGTAGCCAAGATACCATTTATCTATCAAAGCAAAGGAAGTACATTTTCAGACATGTGATGATTCAGAGAGAGGACAAAAAAAAATCTGGGTGAGATTGATCTTCTGTTATGATATAATTATAGAAAATGTAGGAATAAATATAACTATCAGGAATAGAACTGTAACAAGCAGCACAGTTAGAAAATAGATCCTCATTAGAGCCCCATGTCAGGCTCTGTGGTGAGCGTGGAGCCTGCCTGGGATTCTCTCTCTCCCTCTCCCTCTGCCTCTCCCTCTGCCTCTCCCTCTACTTGCTCACTTGCTCACTCTCTCTCTCTCTCACACACAAACACACACATCTTTTTTTAAAAAGAGAGAAAGAAAGAAAACAGATCCTCAGAATGCACAAGGAGTGAGAGGAGAAATGGGCAGAAATGTAAACAAGCCATCAAAATTAAGAAAAGGAAAAAAAGAACAAACAACATAAACAGTAAACTTAACATAAGAGTAGGCATGAAACCTAGTTCAATGAACCAAATTCTCCTGACAAAGGACCAAGACTGTATCAGATTGGCTTGATAAATTCATCTGTATGCTGTTTCCAAGAATAGACCTGTATCAGATAGGAACAATTTTGGCAGCAAGTAAAAGAAAACTGACAAATAACAGCTTAAACAAATAGGGGATTATTTTTTCAGATAAAAGGCCTGAGTCTAGCAGTTGCTGGGGTTAGTTTAGGGGCCTGATGATGCCATCAAAGGGACCCAGGTTCTGTTCTTTTCTTCTGTCTCTCCATTTTTCCATTCCACCATCGTTGGGGGGTTTGCTTTCGTCCTCACTCTTGTTTTTATCTCAAAGTCGCAAGCTTCAGATAGCATATCCACGTTGAAGGGAAGAGAGGGAGGAGTAGCACTACCCATGCCTCTCCCTCTTATAGAAAGTAAATGCTTTCACACAAAACCCCAGGGAACTTCCACTTAGGCTGATTGGCTAGAACTTTGTCACATGCTACCCTGCAGCCACAGGGGAGGCCCAAAACAGGAAGGATTTAGACTGGCTTATTCTGCCCTCAACAGAGTCAGAGCTCTTCCACAGAGGAGAAGGGAGGAGTGACTGATGAGTAGATATACTAGTCAGTGTGGGTTCAGTTTTGCTGTAGTAACAACCCCCAGACCTCAGAGGCTTAAAACAATAAAAGTGTATTTTTCACTCATGCGCATGTTTAGCATCGAGTAGGTGGGCCCTCTCCTCGGTGGCACTTGTCCAGGAGATACTGAGAATGTGAGCCACATATGTTATTCACATTTTTCTAGTAGCCTCATTTTAAAAACTATTTTTTTTAAAAGGTGAACTCAAGTTTAATCATATATTTTATTTAACCAGAGCTATCCAAAATATTATTTCAACCTGTAATCAATAGAAAAAAAGTATCAGTGTGATAAAATTTATATTCTTTTTATCTTACTAATTCTTCAAAATCTGATGTCTAGATATTTTATACTTATAGCGTGCCTTCCTTTGTACTAGCTACCTTTGACCGGCTCAGTAACCATCAGTGACCTGTAGCTACCATCATCAGATTACCTAACCCACCTTCTCCTCATTCGTGGACTACGCTAGGGAAGGCCCTATCTCTTCACTTCCGTCATTGTCACAGCAGGGAAAAGGGAATGTGGTGAATCACACTGACTCTTAAAGCTTTCTCTCAGAAGTAGCTTACATCTTATTGGCCAAAGCAATTGATGGAACTACCCCTAACTTCAGGGAGCAGGGAAGTGCAATCCTACCATGTACCCAGAAGGAAAACTGGAATTATTTGGATAACAGTGCTGATTGCTGTTACAGTAGGTGGCTACTAGTTTGTGACATCTAATAGTGATTTTAAGAAGGTAGAAAATACGATGGGCAAAATGTAAAAAGCAGGGCGTCTGGGTGGCTCAGTGGGTTAAAGCCTCTGCCTTCAGCTCAGGTCATGATCCCAGGGTCCTGCGATCGAGCCCCGCATCGGGCTCCCTGCTCAGGCAGAGCCTGCTTCTCCCTCTCCCGCTCCCCCTGCTTGTGCTCGCACTCTCTCTGTCAAATAAATAAATACAAATCTTAAAAAAAAAAAAAAAAAAAAAAAACTTAAAAAAAATATAGCAAACGGGGCGCCTGGGTGGCTCAGTGGGTTAGGCCGCTGCCTTCGGCTCAGGTCATGATCTCAGGGTCCTGGGATCGAGTCCCGCATCGGGCTCTCTGCTCAGTAGGGAGCCTGCTTCCCTTCCTCTCTCTTTGCCTGCCTCTCTGCCTACTTGTGATCTCTCTGTCAAATAAATAAAATCTTAAAAAAAAAAAAAAAATATATAGCAAACTACATATGAAAATCTTCGGCAGTTCCTGGCTAATGCGATATGACAAGAAAACGAGGGACGCCTGAGAGTCTCAGTCCTTAAGTGTCTGCCTTCGGCTCAGGTCATGATCCTAGGGTCCTGGGATCAAGCCCTGCATCAGGCTCCCTGCTCAGTGGAAAGCCTGCTTCTCTCTCTTCCACTCCCCCTACTTGTATTCTCCCTCTCGTTCTCTCTCTCTCTCTTTCTGCCAAATAAATAAATAATTTTTTTTAAAAGAACGCCAAAAAAAAACCTGAAACACTTGGTGTAAATATAAAAAAATTGGAAATTAGTTTTATTTGCATATGACATGATTATTTACATAGAAAACCCAAAGACTTCAAAAATAGAATCATTGAAAGGTTTTGCTATGGTCCTCTTATATATGGAAAAATCTGCCATGTTTCTAGATAAGATTTAAATATATATAGAAGAAATGATATCTAAGAATAGGTGAGAAAATTTGGGGGAAAAATAATGAAAGAGAAGTTGCTTTAACAGACGAAGCCTTATTACATTGGCACAGAAAAATATATTAGTGGAATTTATATGGTGAGATTCTACTATAAACCCTCTTGCAGCCCCAGATTCTAATATGTTCCCCCAGTGTGCTTTCCTCATACTCTCTCTCCCCCAATTTGAAAATCACTTTAGAGAATCTTTAGAGCATCACCATTAGCAAAAGGACCATGGTTGGAACCCTAGGTATGTAGAGGATAAAAGAGATGAATCACTGCTGTCATAGTAAAAGCTCTATTTAAAATTAGTATTTGCCAGGGCACCTGGCTGGCTCAGCTCAGTCAGGCTGATCTTGGGGTTGTGAGTTTGAGCCCCACGTTGGGTGTAGAGATTACTTAAAAATAAAATCTTTTAAAAAATAAATAAATAAAAATAGTACTTGCCTCGATGAAATGCCATGAGACAATGGTGGTGCAGCCCCAACAGGTTTTCTGGAGTGGCTGGCTGTAAATAGGGGAGAATAACGGCATTTGAAGGCAGTTCCTTTGGCAGAGCTGAGCTGGACTCAGTGTTCTTTCATAGACTTCCTTCACTTAATATTTATCAAAATGGCTGTTTAAAGAATAGAATTAACTCTGAGGGCACCTGGGTGGCTCAGTGGGTTAAGCCTCTGCCTTCGGCTCAGGTCATGATTCCAGGGTCCTGGGATCGAGCTCCGCATCGGGCTCTCTGCTCGGCAAGGAGCCTGCTTCCCCCCTTCTCTCTCTGCCTGCCTCCCTGCCTACTTGTGATCTCTGTCTGTCAAATAAATAAATAAAATCCTTAAAAAAAAAAAAAGAATAGAATTAACTCTGAGTAATGCATCATTTGCACTAACACTTGACTATTCAGTCTGTAAGACCAGACCCCACAGAACGATCCAGGGTCGAAGTGGGGCAGCCCAGGCCTGGAGGAGGACCCTCCACCCTCCCTCGCACTCAGCTTGGTCTGGAACACAGAGCCCAGGCCATAAGTTGTGGAACCAGATTCAAGGCCCTACTCTTCTGCTGGCCTCCAGCTCTCCCTGCCTCTTGGAACTCAGCAGGCCAGAGGCAGAGGGAAGGTTGTGGGTGGAATGCTATGGGTGGCCCGTAGGGTTCTGTCCACCCTACATATTCGCTTGAGCCTGGAGAAATGCTTCCGCAGCAGTGGCCGAGAGCAGCAGCTGTCGCCACCATCATACTTACAACCTGGACCTACAGGCCAGTTGCCTAAGATAAACAGGTCCAAGGCCCTGGCCAGAGGCAAGAAGAAGTCAGCATCCAAAGGACCCCAGTGGCCAGGACCATGGAGGACTTTCTCAGGCAGAGGGCAGAGTAAAGGGATAGCAGGACACACTAATGTATGCATACCCCATCACACACGCACACATACATGCAAACTTCCAGGGTGATTTTCCTGCCCAAATATGTGGCCAGAGGAGCATCTTTGGTCCTAGCCCTTCACATGTTTGTTACTCTTAGCTCTCCCTTCACTGATGCACTCGTCTTGTCTGAAGATGCATCTGTGTGGAGGGGCTGTTTGCAGCCTCCTCTGGTGCAACGGTTCTCACTTGGAGATGATTTCCCTCCCTAGGGCACACTTGACAATGTCTGGAGACATTTTCGATTGTCACTACTGGGCATTGTACTGGCATCCAGTGGGTAGAGGCCAGGGATGCTGTCGAGCATCCTACAACACTCAGGATAGCACCCCCAGCAGAGTTATCAGGCCTAGAACATTGGTAGCCCCGGGGTTGAGAAACCCTCCTCTGTAGTGGCCCAGTGGGCCTGTGAGCTTCTGGTTAAAGTCTCCCAACCAAGAGCAGGTGTTGGGAGTAACATTACTTAAGAGCTTTGGAAATGAACTTCTCTGCGGAAGTCCTTAAAAACTAGGATTGGATTTGATTGTGCCGTCCTGTTGGAGAGCAGCACAGCTCTGCCTTGAATAATGGCAGAAGGGGTTTAGAACCTGAAGACAAGTCCCAAGTGTCCTGAAAAAGGAAAGAGCGTCAAGGTGGCCTTGAGAGGGAACAGTAGTTGCTGTCACACTGCAGAGGTGGTAACTAGGGCTACAGACAATCAGGAAGTTGGTAAATGGCGCTTAGAGTCAGAGCAGAGCTCTGAAAGGTACCAGCCAGCTGTCGACAGTCAGGTTTGACCCCTTCCCGTGAGAGCCTTGTTGCCAGCGAGCCCCTCAGTAAAGATGGACATACTGTTCACAAATCCTTCGGTGTCAGAGACTGGAAACAGTGTGTCTCCCCACCAGGAACTGTGATGCTACTCTTCATTGCCTCCTGTCACACCATCTAAAAAAGAAGAAACACAGAAACTGGAAATGCTCAGTGGAGATAACAGAGAGAATGTGTTATTTTATTAGCATTTCGTAATGATGCTCAAATGAAATGTTTCCATCAACCAGCTTTGGAATGGCTGGCATTCAGAGGCTGAGGAATGGGTGAGGCCCCACCTTGGGGCCTGGATTTTCTTAACCCTCCCTGTGAGTACAGGTTTTGTTCCCCTTAAAGGGAACACTGTCTCCATGCCTGTGGCCTCAGGGGCAACCTCTTGAGCTTTGCCTTCGCTCCTCTGCCCAGTCCTCCTTTAGAAGAAGACCAGGAGAGGCCAGGGGCTTCTTCCTAACCTGATAAACTAGCCTTCCTTTCCCTGCATATTGTATTGACTTGATGCTTAGTCTTCTTAGGGAAAAACTTGCTTAAAAGAAGAAATAAGCCAGTTATTAGAGGGATTAATGGATCAAAGTAATATATGGGCTTTGTTTTTATTTTTCAATTAAGGATTAAATTCCTGGGAGTAAGGGAGGCACCATTTAAATAAACAAGATTAATGAGCCTCAGGAACCCAGCCTTGGTTTGTCAGGGGAGGGAGTGTCTGGGAGGCAGAGTGGAGTCCGGTGCCCTGACTGGAAAATCTGTGGGTTCCTCCTGTTCATTAAATACCACTAAGGTAGAGAGAACAGGAAATCATAGGGCTGCTGTACTCAAGAGTGCTTTGAAGTTTCTTTTGAGCATATGATCTATTTATTTCTCTTCAAACCTGACAATGATTTCTTTTTTTTCTTTTTCCTTAGGGTGACCAGAGGCAGGTCATTCCCATACCAAGTGTATGTATATTTATCCAATTTTATTCAAACATTCATAGAATCTTGTAGCTTTGGGCCTACTGATATAAAAGATACTTTGTAATGTTCTTGCATATGTTGAGTTTAGCATGTGATATAAACAGCTCTGTTCTGTTAAAAAATGAAACTGCATTTTAAACTGTGAGCAGGAGGTTCTGTACAGAGTTTCCTTTCTCAGGAACAACAGGGAAACTAGCATCTATTAACCAACTTCTCACCTTTCCTTTCTTTCAGCAAAGGGCCTCCAGGCTAATAAGCTAAGGCAGCCTGCTACACCTCCCCACCCCAGCCCCTCAGCCCCAACTCCATAGCCCAGGAGAACATGCTTTTGCCCAGACATGGGCTTTTACGGCAGGCGCTCTCCCAGTGGGCTTGGTGAGCCCGTGGGCCGGCCATTTCTGACTTTCAGCAGTGTTGGTAGCTTGGCCCTCCCTGGCTCTGAGATCAGAAAAAAAAAATTGCCCAGTTGTATTCCCTGAACTTGCAGGACTCACCCCGACTCCTACAGGCTGGCTTTGCTCTAACTTTGTTCCAGCTGGACACTCCCTTGGACCACCACTTCTCTTTTCAGCCTTGGGGTTTGGAAGAGTAGCTGCCCTAGTGTTCAGCACAGGCTGGGCCCCCACCCTGCCCCGGACATCCGCTGTCCCCACTGTTCCTGCTCTGATAGCAGAACCACTTTGCCCGGAGCCAGACAGCAAGAAACAGACCAGGGACTGACTCAGAAGAAACTTTCGCTTGAGATGTCTTTGTCAAACAAGACCATTGAAACAGCCCTGTGTCCTTAGAGAACTGGGTTTTAAAAGATGTCCGTAAATGGATACTTTTATCCATAAAGTGTCTCTGATTCAAATTGATTGACTCAAATCTGTTCATCTAACTTCCCGTGGACTTCTTCACATATTATCTGGGAACGTCCAAACACAACTTTGAGAAAAACCAGCGCTATGGGAGTATCACAGGTAAGGGGAAAGCTGCTGTCAGAAGTAGTACGTTGCCCCCCAGTTTTTTGAAAATTTCATTTTTCTCAGGACTTCAGCTCTGCATTAACTAGTTTTAAGGGTTTGTGAGATGGTTCTGACTTGGCCAGCACGCCTGGAGGTTGGACTTTGTCAGGAAAACTGACTTTAACCCAAAAAATGGATCAAGCAGCGGGACCTCTTATCCAGTGTTTGAGTGGGATACCCAGTGGATTGATACCAGAGGTGTCCTTTTAACCTTTATACAGAGTAGTTTCAAACATTTTTCCTGCAAAGTTACCTATGTTAAGCAGGTGACAGCAGCTTTCCCCTTACCTGCGATACTCCCATAGCGCTGGTTTTTCTCAAAGTTCATTAAGTGCCAAACCAAGCATTTCTCAGGATAGAATTCTACTGAGGAAAATGACCCTTTCCCCACAAATTTTGACACATTCTAGAATCCCAGAATGAAATAGCCAAGGGGAAAAAGATCCCTTGTATAATTTAGTGCAGGGTTAGATCAGTAACAACTGCTGACTCCTTCCTCCAAATGAGAGACTCTAGGTCAGGCCTTGTAAGTCTCTGAAATATCTTGCAGAAGAACAAAGCCTCGCTAAAGTAACTTGCATCCCTGAATGATATCCTCCAGAAAAGCAGATCTACTGATGGGCTCAGTATGATTTGCACTGCCTGCTTAGCATGCACAGCTGAACCCAAGTCCATCTGGAGGCCAGCTCAGCCTCAGAATTTGAGCCTTGGGATCCCCTGCGGAATCTGTACCCACCTGTCAAGGCTGCACTTCGCATTAACAGAGTAGCCCTGCCCTTTCTGGGTCACAGGGGACTGGTCAGGGAGCCTGTACGAGCTTGGGGTGCTGTATCATGGGAAATATGAAAATCCAGGCTTGTGCTAATCCCAAACCAGAGCCTCTAGCCTCCTGAAAGCTGTTCCAGGCCCTGAAGGTGAAAGGTGCCCTCAAGCCAGACTATTCCAGCTGGAGCCCCCCCTCCATTTTTGCTTCCCCCCATACCCATCTTGTTTCATTTTCATGCTACTCTGTTTACATGTGCAGCTTTGGTCTTTTGGTTTTTTACTAAGCAATAATTGAAGCTCATAGTTTTAAAAAATAAAGAATAAAGCAGAACGAAAAAAAATTCCCCACGTGGTCCCACTCCCTGGAATAACAACTTTCAATATTTGTTATGGATTCTTCCAGAAATCTAAATAAACACGACTTGTTTAGATTATTAATATCAGATCTTTCTTCTAATATAAACATTTAATGCTATAAAGTTATCTCTAAGGGGTGCTTTGGTGGCTCAGTCATTAAGTATCTGCCTTTGGCTCGGGTCATGATCCCGGGGTCCTGGTATCAAGCCCTGCATCAGGCTCCCTGCTTGGCAGGAAGCCTGCTTCTCCCTCTCCCACTCCCCTTGCTTGTGTTCCCTTTCTCTCTCTCTCTCTCTATTAAATAAATAAATAAAATCTAAAAAAAAAAAAGGTTATCTCTAAGACTTTATCTACATCCCCCAAATTTTATGTTGTATTTTTCAGTTTTGTTCACACAAATAAGGAATTTGCAAGATGTTTTTTGCTTTAAACATTATACCTTGAACCTCTTTCCAAATATTTGTGCATTGTGAGTGATCTACCTCCTTCTTTCACTTGTCCTTCATGGCATTTACTTTGTTTCTTCTGGACTATTGCAAATACTTGGGAATATTCCTGTGCACGTATGTTTATGGACCTGAGTTACAGCATCTGTTGTGATCCTTTCCTAATTGTGCAAATGCTAGATCAAAGGATATCTCTTACATTCTGGGTAGATTAAAGCCAGATTGTCCTCTGAAAGCCTAATTTATGTTCCCACCAGGAGTGTGTGGGATTGCCCATTCCCTTACCAAAAATGATGATAATCAAATATTTAATCTTTGCTGATCTGTAAGTGAAGAATGGTATATCGATTCATAGCTCTGATTTGCATTTCTTTATGAATGAGGATGAATATTTTTTCACAAGTTTATTATTTATATGTCTTTCTTCTTCCCTGTTAATTTCTTCTGGATGTTCTTCTGTTACCTTTTTCAATTTCAAGGAAATTGAGACTTCCCCCCCAAATTTATGGTATATCTTTTGGCCTTGGTTATAATCATTTTGGCCGCAAAGAAGTTTAATTTTATATAGGCAAATGTGTTAATCTTATCCTTTATGACTCCAGAATTTTATGTCATGCTCTTAGAAAGATCTCCCCACTCTATCACTGTGAGCCGTATTTTCTCCTAGTACTTTAATGGTTTTATCTCTACACTGAAATCTGTGACCCATCTAGAATTCATGTTGGTGGAAGGCGTGAAGTAATGATTCAGCTTTATTTCCTTTTCCAAGTGGCAGGGCAGTTGTCTCAACACCATTTATTGATTAATCCAGCTTTTATACCCCTCTTGAAAATGACATCTTTATCTGGATTTGACATTAAACATTCCACTCAGTAACTTTGGCCTCCCAGATGTAAGCTGGGATTTGCGGCCCTCCACACATCTTACTGGAAGCCTCGTGGGCTGTTCCGTGAAAGCCAGATATTGAAGGGTAAGGAAAAGAAGCAGAGGGATGGGTTGCGAACCCCCTGAAGGTTGGGTGGTCATGGCTGAAGGTGAGCACTCAGATGCTTCGGCCCCAGCGAGGAATGGGGCTGTGAGCTGACTCCTCCCGTGCCCTCTCTCGCATGATTCTCACTCTACTCTGACACCCAGCACACGTGGTCGCAGTGCAGCTGAGCCATAAAAGTGCTGAAAGGGGAGAAGAGAAACATGTTTTCTAACGGTGTCTGCTGTTTACCTGAGCTTTTAGTAAACAATAGCATACTTTTTTCTACCAAACCTTATGAAGAACCCACTGGCAGAAACAAGGATTGGAATGAAAGACAGCCTAGGGTTTCCTTCGCCCCCTCCCACGGAGGCCCTGAGATCTCTGCCCTCAGCTCTGTGGCTGAGGGAGCCCATCAGGCGAACTCTGAGCCTGAGGACTCTTATGGACAAAAACGCCAATCTGATGTGCCAAGAAGAGAGTGAGTAGGGTGGTACTCGAAAGAACCTTAGAGTTAACTGTTCCTGGCTGCCAGTTCACTACCAAGGACGGGAAATTCCAGACCTCTCTCCAGGAAGAGAACTGGAATGAATGCCCTTCCCAAACCTTGGGTGGCAAGCCAGGGTTCCTTCCTTCTCCCCTCCCCCACCATGTTTGCCCCCTGCCTCCACCCCATCCATCCCCCTGGCAATGCCCTCCATGTGCTTTGGAGCAAGAGAGCCAGCTCTTCTTGATAGAACTGGTGTTCCTCTGTTCTCCGGTTCTGTGATGGCCTGAGAGGAAATTTGCCTCAGGGCGTTTTTATTTACTAATTCAAGCATCACCTGAACAGATCAGTTGAAGTAACAAAGCACTGTTACAATTTTGTACGGTCCTTGCATGTACCAAGAACACAGCTGTCCAGAAGAATTCTTACCAGTGGTCTGAAGAATTTGCATTAGTCTAAAGCCAAGTTCTCAAGAAGCTGTGTGTACTTAGGAAGCGGGCTGAGGATTAATGGAACCCTCCCGGCCCGTTGCCCCCAGCCCGGCCTTGCTCTCTGCAGCACAAATGCTAAATCCGTGGCTTGCTTAAGAGGGCTCTCACCCTTCTCCCTCTTTTCTCTCTTTCAGTAGTACTGTGAGGCCTTTTCTGTACTGTTAGCTCAAAGAATGCTTGCAAAGTGTGGGTTAAATATGCTAAGAAAGTAATTTTTTATTCTCAGGTTTGGAAAATAACTGAGCCACTTTTGGCAGATCTTTGATGTTTTCAGATCTGCTAGGGATAGAATTTCTAGAGCCTTATTTTCCAGGCTAGCAATTACATAAAGTGAAAATGTTGTTTAGTATATAAACACATTGAGAAAGGACTGGACAGATATACACTGAACTAAGAAGAGGGGCACCTGGGGAGAGGAATGGGGAAAAGGGAAATAGTTGTCTGTTACATGTCTGTATTCTTTACAATGAGAATGTGTTTTTATTACATAATTGTGTAATCAAAAATTAAAACAAATTTTATTCTAGTCCCAGGCATGCTTTCTGCTATGGCCCCAACAACAGAAATAACTCAGATCCTCTTTATTATGTTCAGTTACAGAGCTCATCGTGCCCTGCCTTTTTAAAATGCTTTTGCAGAACTTCTTGCAAGTTTAATTTTTCCAGCCACCTGCTTGCTTGCTGATTTATAATGGAGGACAGAGTCCTTTCTAGGACTCCAGATCCCATGCCCTGTGTCTAAGGCACATCTCCCAGGCCACTTACAGTATTGGGTGAGATATACTACTGCTTGGTGAACTTTAATTAGAGCCAAGGGAGTTGGAGGCCATGAAGGCTTTTTCTTCTGGATGATGCTGGACAGGAGGAAATACCCACACTCTCTGGAGGGAGCCCGTGTAGAATTAGAACCACCACACGCAGCCTTACCCCACCAGCCCGGACATGGTGGTCATCACACTTGCAGATTTACCTGCCCTGTCGACTTCCTGTGTTACATTCACTACTGAACCAGCAAAGTCCAGAATTAACTCTGGATCCTTGACTTATGTTCACTTTAACCCCCCCCCACGATCAGAAAAAGGAAATACCCATTGAAAAGGGAATAATTCATGATTTCTTTTTTTTCTTTTGTCTTGTTTTTTTTTGTTTTGGGAGTTTTTATTTGTTTTAAAAATCTAAATTGTCTGTTCTTCAGTGGCTCGAGACACCTTTTTTGGTGTGTATTGTTTTGCACTAAATATTGAACAGAGAGAGCTTGACCTTCCCAGGATAGAAAATTAGCTGTTTAACACTAGCTACGAACACCACAAAGTAAACTAAGAAACTTCAGTCATTTCTAGAATGAGGCAAGGCCCAAAGAAATAAATCTAAATCAAGAAGGAGGTTGGCTGAAGATACCTGGCCGTTTATTAGCTCTTTACAACCTCTTTATCACAAGATTAGATTCAGCCACTACCAAGACATAAATAGGTTTTGTGATTAGCACACAGCATGTGGATTGAAGTAGAACGTCCAGACACTGAGAATCCAACGGGTAACAGTGTCACGCTCGCTCAGTGTGAATACTACCGTGGGGCAGACCCCAGACAGAGCACTTTACCTCGACCACTTTTACTTGTTTCCTGTTATTGAAACTCACTTTGGATTGCATTTTGCTGGTGGGTCTATAGGTACTCTTCAAGTTCCTGAAAGTTTTAGTCATTAAAACAAAACACACTGTGGTTCCTATATAGCTTTAAAATATACTTCTGTACCACGGTGAATTTCAGACAGAATATGACCCCAGTAAATGGGCCTGGAAGTAGAAGAGTAGCTAGTAGGATCGAACATTTGTTTTTGCGTAGCCCATTTTAATTATAACAGTGGCCGCCATATATGTGCCAGGCAGAATGCTGGGAGCTTTACCACAGTAAGAGCCGATAACAACCTTCCATGGTAGGTGTTACTATCCCAACTCACTGCCAAGAAAGAGACGGAGTTGATACTTGGACCCTGGCTTGTCTGGTTCCAAAGCCAAGGCCCTCAAATAGCCATTCAGACAATGGCACAATATTTGTTAAAACTTCAGTGGCAAACGACCCAGTCCTATTTTTTTAAATAAAATTCCGTGATGGGGGGTGGCTCAGTTGTTAAGTGTCTGCCTTTGGCTCAGGTCATGATCCCAGGGTCCTGGGGTCAAGCTCCACATCGGGCTCCCTGCTTGGTGGGAAGCCTGCTTCTCCTTCTCCCACTCCCCCTGCTTGTGTTCTCTCTCTCTCACTGTGTCTCTCTCTGTCAAATAAATAAATAAAATCTTAAAAAAATAAAAATAAAATTCTGTGATGTGCTTAATCAGGCATATAAACGTTTGATCTCATTTAACCCTCATTGATATAATATATAATAAAGGCATTGGTTTGTCTTTTACATAAAGGTAATAATACTGTTGTTGTTTTTTGTTTTTTGTTTTTTCATTTTAGCCCCCAGCTAAATACCTCCTTCCAGAGGTGACGGTGCTTGACTATGGAAAGAAATGTGTGGTCATTGATTTAGATGAAACATTGGTGCACAGTTCATTTAAGGTAAATCAACAAAGAAAGCAATCCATGATCTTTGTGATTCCGTCACAGTTGTATTGGAAAGGGAAAATAAAAAAGGATGACATTTTGTGGCTGTTGGTGTAGGACTTCACTGTGCATGAAGAAATACCAAGAACAGTTGCTTATTAACTCTGGTGAACATTAACTCGAGTAGTTGACTGTTACATAGTTTGGAGGAAAATGCTGGGCTGCCAGTGTCACTAAGATCTCATTCTTACTTATGAGAGTAGAGTTTTCCAACGCTCCAACCCCTGCAGAAGTACTTTTCAGGTGGCAAAAGGCAGTCAGTACCCTGTGCCCCAGGACACTGCAGTGTATTTGTCAAGGTAGCCAGAGTGCTCTATGTTTTATTGGGCAGGGCAGAAGAGGCACTGTTAAACTGTCAAGCAATCTGCTATCTTGGAAGTTTTCCCAGACCAGTTCTTGAAAGATGTCCAACTCTGAAGAAGACTTCCAGAGTGACAGCATCTGGGATTTGAGCTTTTTCATGAGAAGAGGTTGCTGGGTGTTTTGGTTTTTATGTGTGTGTGTGTGTTTTTTTTTTTTTTATAAACGTCATAGTTCAATGAGTATCCATCCACAAGCGGACTTCTCTCCTGAAGGGGGCGGGGCTTTAGTGATGTCACAGGAAGCATCACACCACCGGCTTCCTTCTGTCCCCTTCCTCACTGCACTCCTTGCCAGAATGACAGCAAAAATTACAGATTCCCAGAGGGCGACCATGTGGGAACAGCTGTGGCTATACTATTAAGAAGTGACTTTGTGAACCATTTTTCCATTTTTTGAAATGAAACAAGTTGTTTAAAAGAGGCACATGATGGTAAGGTTTGGGAATAGGAGGTTCCAGGGGAAGAAGTAGGATCCTGGTCCTACTTTCCCTTGGGGTATTTCTGGAGATGAAACTGCTGCACTATCACTGGCCAGTTAGACCCCATTCCTCCTTTTATCCCCAGCCCTCAACTCCCCTTGCTTTGCTGAGAGATGTGAAAGGCACCACCCATGGTGGGGTATGTGTCTCACGTGAACCACAGTCATTCCCTGACTATTGTATTGGGAAGTGGAAGAGCCATCAAACTGACCCGAAGACCTTTCTGTCAGAAACACCCTCCTTGTGCCTGCTTCTCACTGAACAGAAGCCTTCCTTAACAGGACAAGGCCAGGCAGTTGTCTGTGAGTCCTTTGGGAAAGTGGAGCAGGTGCCACACTTACTCTAGCAATGGGAAATGACCTGCCTAGCCACTGGGGCCTGGAGGTGTTACTTCCTTCCCCAGCAGCTTGAGGGCCCTTCCAGGATTGGTCCTGTGGCTGTCATGAACTTGTGCCCCAGCTCAGCTCTGCACAGCATCAGAAGCCATTTCTTGCCTATGGGCAAGTCGCTCAGGACTTTTCAAGTCCCTCAGGAGGAAAGTCCTTTGGAGCAGAGGTCATTTGCCATTTCAGCCTACATGGCTTCCTCCCAACACTGGCCAGACTGCCTGGGGTTACAGACAGTTCCTTCCTCCAAACGCAGGCCTGCTCAGAGGGCATTATACTACAGGCTGATGGGAACAGCATCTCTTCATATCTGCTCCCTGGCCTGCCTATATTTGCAAGCAGGAAATTCTTTGTTGTGTGGGTTTTTTAATTCAAGTATACTGCACATACAGAGTTGTGTTAGTTTCAGGTACACGACATAATGATTCAGCAAAATTCTATATATTTCTCCATGCTTATCAAGATACATGTCCTCTTAATCCCCTTTATCTGTTTCACCCATCCTCCCCTCATCCCCTCTGGCAGCCACCTTTAGTGTATGGTTTTTAGTATTCTGGGCATTTCAGAGGCCTCTCCTTAAAAATGTACAGTGGTATGACACACAGGCTCTTAAACCCAGGGGAAGAACCGTGGCTTGGCATGGCCCCCTTTATACCAGCACGTGAAAAGAGACTGAGGTTCAAGCTTGGTCTGAACTGGGGAATGGTTTTTCTCTTTTAATGTACTCTGTGGAGTATGATATCACACTATGCTAATACCTTTTCAGAGTTTCTGCCTTCAATCTTGTGTTTTTTAGCATGATTTTGTATTTTCGTTATAGAATTATAAAATACCAAACTTATCATCCTTAGCCTTCCAACCACAGAAGTGAATAGATTGTAATCTTAAACCTCAGGTGCTCTACTGAGTCCTTGAGAACAGTTCTGTGATCTAGAATTTTCTACATTATTTTCAGTTTACTTATCAAAGAACAGTGTGTGTGTGTTGTGATGGGCTTAAAGGCAGATCCCAGTTCAGATTCTGACCAGAGACTCGGTAATACACATCCCTGTCCACACTCCCTGCCCCCTGGCCACCACATACATGCTCTTCTCCCCCTCTCTCTCCTACTTGTCCCAGGGGTTTGCGTTCTGATTCTTTGGGCCCTGTTCATCTGAGTAGTTTCCACCTCATTTATGGAATTCCATTAAGAACTGTATGTAAGCCCAGTGGTGACTTACACAGGCACTGCCAAAGTATATTTGGATTTTAAGTGTCATTAATATTGTCAAAGAGTTCTTTTAAGTATGCTGAAGTTTATGGGTGTGCTCGGCATTGTGTTACTTAGAGCAGAGCAGTCTAGGGTGGGCTGGCTCTCCCCACTGCTCAGGGCAGGAGCTTGTGCTGGGCAAGGCTGAAATCACCGATGCTTGGGACTGATGGAGCCATGGGCACTCAATGGACCCGTTACTATAGCTGTGGAAGAGAGGAGAAGCCGAGGTTGAGAGGGAAGGAGCCTGCCCACAGTCATGGCTTGTGGCCTCTGACTTCAGCCCCACGTCTCTGTGGACTTGCTTTGTGTCCATGTGCTCAGCATCTCCTGCCGAGCAGCCCATCACAGGGCAGCCTGCATCTGTGGGTCCAGTGCAAATCATTCTCCCCCATGTAGCGCCATCCTTTGGGACCATCAGGCTCTCACCTTCTCCCCCTGGTGGCCAGCAGTGGTTCCGCACCATCCTGGCAGGGCTCTAGGCAAGAGTTGGGCTCTCAGAATCCCCATTCCCTGGCTAGGTTGCCCAACCCTTTGTCGTTTAGGCCAGGAAGATAATAGAGAGGTTGGACCAAGATGCTGAAAAGGTAATGATACTCGGAACAGGAAAAAATGTGCTTTCCTTCTTGTGCTTAGGGAACCTGCTTGTGCTTTAAGGAACCAAATCATACTTGAACATCCTTTGCCTGAACTGTTTTTTCCAATGATAAAAATATTGGTCCAGGCAAGCTTTATTCTTACTAAAGTTTCCAATTTTATTTTATTCTTTCAGATGTAGTAATTATCATTTCTTTTCTCTCTAGCCTATTAGTAATGCTGATTTTATTGTTCCGGTTGAAATCGATGGAACTATACATCAGGTAAGAAATCAAAGCTAAATCTGAGTTTCAGTTAGCATTTTTTAGTAATTACATTTCCTGTGAACTTACTCCTAAATTCCCATTTCATCAATAATTTTATGACTGAATCAAAAGGGAGCAGGCTTTGTAAAATAAATACAATGGTTTTCTGCTTTTTTCATTCAGATGAATTTCTTTTGTACTGAATTTATAAGGGAAACTAAAATCTGTAGATATTAGATGTGGTTGCAAGTTCAAATAGTTCTTTGATTTGATTCAGACTTTTAGAAGTGCCCATATCCCCCGCTGGCCTGGCTTGATGGTCTAATTAACTTCCTCATGTAAGTGCTCTTGGATACTCTCCTAGCAGGCAACAGGAAAATGCCACAAGTCACCCATTTATGGGCGAATCTTGGGAAAGGGTGTCCATTTCCAATGCCAGCCACTCCAGACTGATTTTTCACTCCTACATCATGTTCTCCAGTGAATCTTTAGCAAAATCCCAACCCAGAGGATGAAGAGGGAAGGGTGTGTTTTCAGATCCGAAGGCAAATTTGAATAAAGATGCCCTAGTTAATTGGCATGCATCTTTGTTCTGGTATTTTTTCTCCTTATCTGCATGATGGTTCTCCAGGAATAGCTTCATTTATGAACATATTGGAACATTGTAGGAAAACTAGCCTTGGAGGTTGAGGAGTGGGGGAGATTTTTGTCAGGTTTTCCACAGGGATGGTCTGACCATCTTCCTTGTCAACCCCAGGGTCTTAAAGGGGCAGTCTCTGGCCGGATGTGTTTATATCCCAGGAATGAAAATCTCTCTTGAGCCATTTTAAAAGGATATCTTTCCTTAATGATGCCAGTCATCTCTTTGGCCTTTGAGGACAGGGTGTCAGAGTTAGCGATGACTTGGAAATCAGCTGGCCCAGCCACCTCATTGTCTGGATGGGGAAACAGAGGCTCAGTCAGAGAAAGAGTTGGCTCAAGGTCATACAATGAGAAGAATTAAAATGAGACTTCTAGTCTTTTGCCTCCTGGCCCATGGCTCTTTACCTGATGCTCTAGTCCCTTCCCTCCCCTGCCAGGCAATCTTGCCAGGAAGCTGGCCCTGAGAAAGGCAGCTCATCCCTAGTGTCTCCACATTTCATGCTTCTAAAAGCCATCAGGGAGCCAAAAGGCAGGCACTTGGGCATTTAACATTTGCAAAAGCATCAGCTGAATTAACTCAGCATCTGAGAAGCAGTTAGGGCTTCATTTATTATCTTGGCTTCTGCTACAAAGTAATGAGACAAAGGAGAGGCTGCCTACCGGCATGGCAAAAATCAGGAGAGAAATTAATCCTTCTTACCTCGAGATGTGAGCGTGACTCTCAGGGCCTGACCTGCTCTGGCCAGCCCATTCTCGAAGGAGCCAGCCCAGCTCCCCCAGCCTCCCTCCAGACTGTGCTATGATTCATACGGTGGTAGATACTCCAGGGCCCCAAGGCTGGGGTGAGAAACTCTCTCTCCTGAGGGAATGAAGCCACAGGCGCCAAGAGGAGGACCAAGGCCCTGGCGAAGGCCGTGGCCTCGTTCAAGTAATCCAGGATAGGCTGTGCAGGTCCCAATGGGCCTATTCTCGGTTACTTGCACGCGGACGCGGGCCTGGACGCCGGCATCCGGGCCCAGGACCTTCCTCTCTGCCAGAGGCACCAACAACCAGAGTTCCCAAATCAGTCTCCTGCCATTTTCGTGTAGCAAAGTTTGCTTTCCAGGCTCTAGTCCCAAGGAGACTGAGGACCACAGGCCATACCCACTCCCTGGCATCGAGGAGTCTCCTGGGCAAAGTGGGGGCCTGGAGCTACTATAGCCACAAGCCCTCACCCCGACCTGGCCTCCCAGCTCCTCACAGCCCTGTTGGCACTCACCCTGGGCCACCCTGCTCCTCCGGCCCCTCACTGCACCCTTGGCCACAGACTGTGCTTGCCCTACTCTTTCAGTTGGCCCAAGTTCCCACCGAACCCTGGCTCTGTGCAGAATTCCCGTGCAGTGCACAGAACGCGTTCTCTGTGTGGTGCAGAGCCCCGCCTCCCTTCCGTGACTCCACGGGATAGACAGCCAGCAACATCTGCCATTCACGGCCCCACGCGTACTCCCCCGCACCTGCCTTTCACACTTGCTTTTCAGCCGCTTCTCCTATCCCCGTCTCCTCTAAAGGGCTGGTCATGAAGGGCTCAGCTGTGCTCTGACATCGGGGTGTTTTCAGGCCGAGTCTCATGCTCATACCCTTCCCTCTGCCTGGAAGCTGACTTTTCATCCTCATCAGCCTGGCGAACTCCTGTTCATCCTTCAAGGTCCAGGCCAGATATTACCTTCTGTGATTCCTTCCCCTTGAGAGGGGAGGTAACTGCCCTTAATATATCCCTGTACTATAACTTCCATTATGCGTGCCTATCCAATTTGTTTTTATTTATATCTGCTCTAGACTGTGAGCCCTTCAAGGGCAAGGCCTGTGTTTTGTTCATTTCTGTAACTTCTTCAGGCTGAGCACAGAACTGGGGCTCAGTGAATATGAGCTGAATTGAATTTTAATAAGTTTGAATTATTTTAGGGAAGTGGCTAATTTCAAATGGAATTTATTCAAGTTTTAATTAGTTCTTCTCTCCTCCCACCTTCCCTATCTTCTCTCACCAGCTCTGCCTTCTCTCCCGTCCCCCTAGTCTCCTCAGATTGGTTCACGTTCCCCAGGCAGGAGCATAGAGCCCCGCAGCCACTCTAGGAAAGCCTGCTCTTTGCCCCCCGCCCTGCTTGGAGGCCCCTCCTGATGGCTGACTGGGGGCCTGGGAGTAGGCCGGTTTCACATCCCCTGACATCTGTTTCTGTACCAAGCAGAGTAACCTTTGTGGGTGTCAAGTGGACAGCTTCCCAGGAAGGCTCTTCTTACAGCTTTGCTGGGCCTGCTCTCCGACCCCAGGCCTGCCGAGCAAGGGAGGTGCTCCAGGCAAGGGTAGGAGGTGGCAGCCGGAGCAATCCCAGCGCTTCCGGGCAACGGGCCGGGCCTGGACCTCCCAAAGGACAGCCCCCAGACCCTGGCCTATGTCCATGTAGGGCCTGACTCAGAACACATGCCAAGAAACACATGTGAGAGAATGAGTCCTTTCACCCAAACTTGCCACACCCCTTCCACTCACTGGTTCGGAAAATCCCCAAGACCCGCAGTACCACGGTCAGCTTCCCTTTCTCCCTTGGGAGGAGTGTCTGCACCAGACTCAGACCTGGAGCCCCATCCAAGGAGTGTGGCCTGAAGTGCAACCTCTGCTCATTCAGTTGGGGTCTCCGTGCCACAAATAGAGCTGGGGACAGGAAGCAGTTGCCTTTTCAGGAATTCTTCTACGTGAGTGTTGGCCCTCAGCAGCCGCCAGCAGCTGCCACAACTGACCAGCTTGCTGTCTGTTGCTGTTGCAGGTGTACGTGCTCAAGCGGCCCCACGTGGATGAGTTCCTCCAGAGGATGGGGCAGCTCTTCGAGTGTGTGCTCTTTACTGCCAGCCTGGCCAAGGTACGTCCTGCTCCCAGCTGGGCGCCCGCAGCCACTTCACCCCGACCCGCTGTCCATCAGACAGCCCTCTGGTAAGGGAGGGGAAGCGGTTTCTATGGTGACAGGTTCCCACCCCAGATGGGATGGCTGCAGGCCATGTGCACAGTACCAGCCTGAAAGGCTTCTGGGTTGCCATGGTGACAGGGAGCCCTTGGAACAAATGCCCCACGAAGCTGAGCAGGCAGCCGCCTCGAGCTGGATGTCCGCAGACCAGGATATCACGAATGTGTCCAATGTCACCGTGAAGGGGCATCTGCATCTCCTCTGCTGACTGGCAGCCTCGAGCCTATGTGTCCTTCATTAGCTTACACAGGTCTGGGGAAGGACGAGTGTCCAAGATTGACCCGCATACACAGGCCGGAGGAGGCTTCTGCCTGCCCTAGTGAGCCCTGGGAGCTCGGGCAAGGGACTTCAAGTCTCTTGACTCCAGGTCTTCTAGAAATTAGGGATAATTCCCTCTACCTCGTGGAGTGGATCAAATGAAATAACGCATGTGACAGGCATAGCACAGTGCCTGACTTCTGTGCAGCAAGTCTTCATCCGAGCCCCTGCTGTGTTCGCTGTGCCCCACCGGCCCTGCCACGTGCTAAGAGCTCCTGATGTTCTTTGTTTCGTTATCATAATTATTAATGATGACAGTTTACATGGTCTGCTCTTGTAGCTCAGCAGGAATCTTTGACCCCACATCCACACTGGCTCTAACCACATAGAGTGGTTTCTTTGCCTTCTCCTACTGTTAAAGGACACCCCCCCAATCTGGTTATGTCTGCCCTTTCACAGATGTGCTGAGCCAAGGGGCGAGAGGGTAGGTCCACACTCCTCGGAGGAGATCCTTGCCATGATCATCTCTCAAATCCCGAGTCTGATGGGGCCAACACCATCCATTTGTGGGGGGGCACCACCAGTGTCTCCGTGGGCAGCTCCAGGACTCTGAAGTAGCCCCAGAGATGAGCTTTGCAGGGCCCAGGTTAGCCAACTGCTCATCTCCAGACCTGCTGCAAGGACTCACATGCAGTTCCCCACCACCCCCAACAACTCCTGGCTCTGGACAGCTCCCTTCTCCTCTGCATGCTGAGGACTCTGACCAGGGTCCCAGATACCCCGCTTTGCCAGACTGGGCATTCCCGGTTTGGGCCATCTCTCAGTCATGGCTGAGTTGAGAGAGAACCCCACCTGTACAACATTCTGCCAGGCTCATTGGCAGGCCTTGAAGCATGAGCTGGTAGAGAACACAAATCCAAAACCTAGGCCTTACTTTCGCACACTAAAAAGAGCATGGCCTCAGGGAAGGGCGCTCCCCATGGGCGCTCTTTCCCCTGAATGGCACCAAGAGCAATAGTACTGTAGGGGAGTTGACTCTCCTAGCAGTGCTCTGGGGTGCCGAGGAGCCTGAAGTGACAGCTAAGGAAGTAACAAACAGGACGATTGCACCTGCCCAGGGTAGATGGAGAGTTGGTGGGATTGGGGGCTACTGCGTCGGGGGGAGGTTGGCAGAGTTGAAACACTCTTGCTTGGCATTGCCCCCAGGACTCACTTAAGCATCCTTGTGCAGTCTCCCTTCCTGGCTTGCTCCCACCTGTGCCTCCATCTGTCTCTGCATCCCTTCTCTCAGTGTTACTCTAGCCTGGCTCAGCTGCATCAGCTCCCAGGTGAAGGCTTCCAGCCCTTTCCTCCCTGTGGACAGGTGGGCACTCCCCAGTTCTTGGCTCTAGGCTCAGCTCCCAGCCAGCACTGCCATACTGGTCCACCGCCCAGGAGCCCACGGGAACCCTCCGCTGACTGTCAGAGCCCTCCGATGTCTGCTTCCTCATCTTGGTTTCCTTTGTGGATGGATTCACCCAGCAAATATTTACTTAGTGCCTACTGGAAGTTGGGCTCTGTCCTGGGCACTGGGGATGCAGCAGAGAACAAGAGACAAAGCCCCTGCCCTCATGAAGCTTACATTCCCCAAATTCATCTCCAAGGCTTAGAGCCCCTAGACTCAGACATTGCTTAAAGGATGTATGCCACCACCAGTATCAATAATTCTGGGGAAATTAATCACCATTTCCATCTAGAGTCAGCCCCCTAGCACCCACAACGTACTTGGCTGCCCTTACCAGCTAAAAACTGCAGTGCCCACCTGGTCAGCAGGAAAATATAGCCTGCTCCCAGACTCTGCCCCTCAGGATGTCTTCAGGGAAAGGAAGACATTCCCACAGAGTTGGAGCTGCTGCCGGTAGCCCATGGCCCTGCATCCTACAGTGTGCTGGCATTACTCTGCTCTCGGGCATTACTGTGCCTTCCACTGCTGGCCTTCCCAACACCCCAGCCTTGGGGGCTTCCTCCCTCTCCGGCAGAATTGCTGGGCCCTGGTAACACCTGGCTGTGCTGGTCTTGGTGCTGAAGTGTGGCCTCATGTAGGCCTTGGAACTGCCACTTTTTGCCTCCAGCCCCAGTCACTCAGGGCAGCCCAGTCTTTTAGACATTTTCATTTATGAAGGTTTTTCCCCTCAAGGATGATGCCTTTATTTCTTTATCCTGTTTAGCCTGATTTGGGGAAATTTCCCCAGGCTCTGAGGGCCAAGCAGGATTAGCCCCAACTGTGAGCTGGCCTCACACTCACAAACTCCTGGGCTCCAAGGGAAGGGAAGTGGGAGTCTGATAATGTCCTGTGACTGGCAGGGGCTGGCCTGGCCCAGCTGCCCCAAGCACCCATAGGGGGCAATGTGGCCTCATACCACATGAGCCAGATTCAAAGTCCACTCACTCATTCAGGGATGAAACTAGTATTTCCTGAGACCCCACCATGAGGTGGGTACTGTGCAGGGTGCCAGGGACATCATGGTCAGCACAACAGACAAGGCCTGCACCCCGAGCAGGGAAAAGCAAATCCATAATCCCCAGGGCTGGTGAGGGAGCTTGTGAAGGAGACCACTGTGAGGCAGTAGGAGCCAGGAAGGGAGGGACAGGCTGGTGCTCCAGACTGGTGGCTGGGGAAGCCAAGACTGAAAGGCAAAGAGGCAGAAGGAGAGGCTCCTGCGGAGATCTGAAGAGTGCATGTTCCGTGCGGAGGGAACACTGGTGCCGAGGCTCTGACCGTGGTCAGCCAGTGCGGCTCAGGTGACCGGCTGGAGCAGGGAGGTGGCAGAAATCACATAGCTGCCGCTGTGTGGGGTATGGCGGGCCTCCCTCCAGGGGCCGCAGGTCAAGACGGGGGGTTGAAAGCAGGGGAATGATCTGATGGGACGTGGCCACTCTGACACGGGCAGGAGTAGTGACTGCAAAGGAGATGCAGGGGGATGTGAGGGGCTCTTTGGGAGGCTCACGCCGCCGCCCCAGGCAGAGGTTACACAGGTTGGGATCAGGGCAGTGTCAGTTACCCAGAGGGGCAGGTTCATTCAAGGTAGTCTTGGAGACGGAACTGCCAAGAATTTCTGATGGATTGGATATGAGAGGTGACAGAAATGGAAGAATCCAGGGTATCCTGCAGGCATGGAAAGGAGAAGAACCAGGATCCTAAAACACATCCAGTTACTTAAATCCCTTTCTAGAAAAGTAGTGCAAGTAATACTTGCTCGAGTAGGTCAGAGTTTCTGGGCCCTTTCGGGTGCCTGGCCTTCACTGCAACCCGCTTCTCAGTACGCAGACCCCGTGGCTGACCTGTTGGACCGCTGGGGCGTGTTCCGGGCCCGGCTCTTCAGAGAGTCCTGCGTCTTCCACCGTGGGAACTACGTGAAAGACCTGAGTCGCTTGGGCCGGGAGCTGAGCAAAGTGATCATTGTGGACAATTCTCCTGCCTCGTACATCTTCCATCCCGAGAATGCAGTAAGTGGCCCCAGGGGGAGAGAATGCAGGGCCCCATCCAGTTCCACGTTTGTGCCCTCAAGCACCTGTGCCGGCTTTCTTGGCCTTCCCTGGGAGGCCCCAGCTCTGGCACTTAGCAGGTACTTGGCACTGACTGAGTTATTTAACCTCGCCGAGCCTTAGTTACCTGGCCCATCAAATGGGGATTCTGGGGGTGCTGACCCGGAGGATGCTTGGAGGACTGAGTGTGGGCGTGAAAAGCACTTAGAACACTGTCTGCATTGGGTAAGTGCTCAGGGAGCCTGGATCTTAGCAATTTTCATGCTGTTCCTGAGAAGGGCACCGTCAGTAACCTCCTGGAGCTCACGTCATGACTCCTGTAGACTCAGAAGGCCTGGATGATCTCTTCAGCAAAAGTTCTTAAACAAGAATGAATAAAAACACCTCAGTCAAGGCCTTCAGACAAGCCTGCCCGGCTTTTCCGCCTCATAGTGATGCCTTAAAAGTATACAGTGGGAACATTTCCTACATAAAACTCCCTAGAGCATGGCAGCCCTTAGTGCCCGCTCCCTGGGTGCAGCATGACTTTCCGAGCAAGAGATGCCATCCCGCTTCCCAGCTCCCGCTTCCAGGGGACGAGGGGCCAGCCAGCCCTCGGGTGACAGCAAAGCCCTCCGCAGCACCGCCATGCTGCCTCTCAGCTCAGGCAGCCCACCCTGCACAGGAGGCTTCCTCCCCAGCCTGGGGTTCTCCGCCTCAACACAGGCTTCCCCAGGGTTCTTTCCTTGAAGCCAGAACTCTGTGGCTCCACTGATAGCAGAAAGCCGAGATCAAGCTAGATTTATTTAGTTAGTGCATAACGATTACTTGAGTAAACATTCCAAATTTATTATATTTAAACATGTTCATTTTAGTGAGTTAATCAAATTCAGCATAATGCATTTTGTCATGCGTCTCTAACAGATAAGGATTACTTCTTAATATAATCACAGTTCCATTATAACATCTGACAGAACTAACAGTTTCTTAATATTATCTGCTATCCAGACCGTGTTCATATTTTCCCCGTCATCTCAAAATGTTGTCCTGCATTTGGATTGTTTGACTCAGTATCAGACAAGGTCCAAGCACTGCTTTGGTTAATAATGTGTCTAGTAATTCTTGTGTCATTTAATAATTCCCCCTACCCTCTGCCTTTTCCTAACATCCTGTTTACTTGTTGAAGAATTCTGGTTATTTGTCTTGTAGAAACTTCCTCTCTTCTGGCTCTGTCTAGTTGCAGCCACGTGGTGGTGTTTTACTTAACTGCCATATTCCCTTTTTTTTTTTAATCAATTAATTTATTAGACAGACAGAGATCTCAAGTAGGCAGAAAGGCAGGCAGAGAGAGAGGAGGAAACAGGCTCCCTTCTGAGCAGAGAGACCAATGTGGGGCTCAATCCCAGGACCCTGAGATCATGACCTGAGCCAAAGGCAGAGGCTTTAACCCACTGAGCCACCCAGGTGCCTGCCATATTTCCTTTAAACAAGTAGTTAGATCAGTACTACTTGGTTAAATGCAGGTTCAGTTTTTCAAGTTTTTCAGTTTTTTCAAGAACATGTCATAGGTGATATCATATACTTATTGTGGTATCACATCAAGAGGCATGTAAGGTCAGGCTGTCCCACTTTTAAACATTTTACTTTTATTATTATTATCAAGTAGGCTCCATGCCCAGTGTAGAGCCCAATGTGGGGCTCGAACTCACAACCCCAAGATCAAGACCTGAGCTGAGTTTTGAGATCAAGAGTTGGATGCCTAACCAACTAAGCCACCCAGGTGCCCTTTAAAGATTTTAAGTCGGTCTTTGGATTCAGGTGTTAGCCTCTACCATCTGTTTGCAAATTCCCTGTTGTCCTTTCACCTAAAAATGTGAAGCCGCTGAGGATCATTGCCTCCATCAACTATTTCATTAACAACTACGAAATGGTGATTTCTAAATTTTATCATTCTTTCCACATTTATTGGCTGAAATTCTCTTTCTTTTAAATGAAACTTGCCCTCATTGACTACTTTATTATCCTAAATTCAGTTTGAATGTTTGAGTCAGGAAGTCAAGGTAAAGTCTTGGTTCTTTTTCTTTAATTCTTCAGTCTTCAGAGTAATGAGGTGGTGCTCTAGCAACTTCCAAAAGTAGACAGGGAATTTGTTGTAGGTATCTATATGAACTCATGGGTTTTTTTATTGTTATAATTTAATCCATGTATTCTTCTTTTGGATGCTGAAACGCTCACCTTCAGATAGCAGACATCCCTTCATATAACAGTGGTCTTTGAACACTTCTGTTTTCTGGTGCAACAAGGTATTCCAGGCTCATCTTGTCCCTTTCTTGCCTCAGCCCTGGAATCACCCACTTTCCTATGGAGCCTGATTCCTGTTAGTGGAAATGGTATTTAGATATGACAGTCTGGGTGGATTCTCATTGTTCCTGAGGTATCCTTTGCTTCCAGCCCTTTATACTGGACAGACCTAAAATATACATATTTTTAGAATTAAAATTAAATCATGAATTCATATTGGTTTTTTATAATTCAGTGTTAAAAGAGTTTTTATTTAATTTCTTTGGTTTTGTTTTTGTATTTGTATCTCTTCTTGTGCTGAAACTCTTGGTTCCTAAATATATTAACTTCATTACCTAGTCTTAGTCTATAGTACTTAGACTTAGTCTATAGTACATGTTTAATAGTTTCCAAATAGCAGTACTAACGTTATTACTACTACTAAGACAATTAGTACATGTAGGGTTTTTATGGAGAAGTGTACAGGCAGAATGTTATGTTTTAAATCACTTGAAGTAATTCTCTGTGTGGCTATGTCACCAGCTTTATATTAACTTTCGTTCATTTCTTTTATTGCTTTCTTAATTGTTTAATTTTTTTAAGATTTTATTTATTTGACAGAGAGAGACTCAGCAAGAGAGGGAACACAAGCAGGGGGAGTATGAGAGGGAGAAGCAGGCTTCCTGCTGAGCAGAGAGCCCGATGTGGGGCTCGATTCCAGGACCCTGGGATCATGACCTGAGCCGAAGGCAGATGCTTAAAGAGTGAGCCACCCAGGCGTCCCTTAATTGTTTAATTTTATTGCAATTATGTAACATATTTCCATGAGTCCAACATCAAAACTACCAACAGAGATGGGTTTAGAGAAATCTTGTGTCCATGTCTGCCCTCTCCCTCATTCCTGCCCTTCCCGTAGGAGTAGTCATTATTTTTTTGTTAACCCTTACCTTGTTTATATTTTTAAATTATACAGTGAATTGTTTTGTTTCTGAGCAGTCTTTAGATTTATAAAAGGGCCCCAAAATACTACTTTTGAACTCCTTTGATTTTCCCCAAACTTTTTTTAAATTTTTGTATTTACTTATTTATTTATCAGAGAGAGAAGAGAAGTAGGCAGAGGCAGAGCTGCAGACAGAAGAAGAGGGAGAAACAGACTCCCTACTGAGCAAGGAACCAGATGCGGGACTCAATCCCAGGACCTCAGGATCATGACCTGAGCCGAAGGCAGATGCTTAACTGACTGAGCCACCCAGGCGCCCGGCAGATTTTTTACGTCCCTTCTTTTGCACCCCTGACTACCACCCATTGCCACCCCTCCCTACCCTCTAAAACTGAGTGTAAATCCTGTCTGTTCCCGTGGCTCAGACTGTCCTGAAATGTTATATTTATGCTTTTAACTGCTCACTGCTAAGGATGGGAGGAAATTCCCCACCTCCCTTTGCCATGCAGCATGGCCCGGCAACCCCAAGTGAAAGCTTTCCTGGCCCTGTTTGGGGGCTCCCTGGTGTTAGTGGCTGGCAGGCAGGTGACCTCTGGCTCCAGGTGAGGTGTAAGGAGCTGCTTAGATACAATGGAAGAGCTTTTGAAATTGACAGGTAGCAAGGCTAGCTCTCCTATATTCTGCACTCTGTCCACCTTTCCTGAGGCAGGAAATCAAAGCAAGCAAATGCACGCAAACTAGCAGTTAGACTCCACGTAAAAAGCAAATGCACTGAACTGTACCTTCGTCCCAAACCAGGGAGCTTTGGAACGGCCTTAGCTGGGATGGGAGAACCAGATGATGATGATGATGATGATGATGGTGATGATGGTTTTTAGATACCTGTCCTCCTTACCAAGGAAAAGACTAACAACAGTGTTGGGGGCCCAGTCAGGCTAAGAGCCGCCCCCTCCCGCACCAGGTGCCGTTCTGCTGCCCGCTCCACACACTGTCTTCCAGGTGCCCGTGCAGTCCTGGTTCGATGACATGACGGACACAGAGCTGCTGGACCTCATCCCCTTCTTTGAGGGCCTGAGCCGGGAAGACGACGTGTACAACATGCTGCACAGACTCTGCAGCAGGTAGCGCCGGCCCCCGATGCCTCCCGCCCGTGCACCCTGCAGCTGCCGGCCTCGGGGGCCCACCCGGCCACAGCTCCCCGGGAGCGCCCAGTGGGGACACTCCGTGCTCCAGGCCACGAGGGCCATGTGGCCATACCTACCTGGTTGCTTTTTTAAGAACAGAAACAACTATTTTAAAATGAACTCTTTTAACCAATTTCATAAAGGGACATGCATTTTACTGGATTTGCTTTTCTTAAAACATACCAAAAAGGATAAAAATGGGGAGGGGGGAGAAAAAAAGCTTGAGGTCTATCAGAACTTCCTTTCAACTGGCCCCCCTTGGCCCCCTCCTCCAAGCAGACAACCTGTCCCTTTCTATCCCAGCTCGGAGCAGCTGACCCAACTCAGAATCTCTTTCCTCCAGGATGAAGTGCCTTTTTGAATGTTATTTTAAGCTGAGAGTTAATTTTTCTACACAACATATTTCCAGACATCTTTTAGTCTTTTATTGTCTTAAGATTCTCTAAAAAAAAAAAAAAAAACCGAATATGACAATTTTCTAGAACCTGGGGTGGGCGGGTGGTGAGGGATGGAGGTGAGTCCTTGAAGCCAGTCTCCCAGCAGGTGTGTGTGCTCTGACGCCCGGTGGCGGCGCTGCAGGACCGGGCTCCCGCAAGGAGCCTCGACGACGGTGGCAGTGTCTCGGTTCATTACGTACCCAGTTTGGAATGTACCTGCAGTCGTGCGGCTCGACACTTTAGGAGACAATAGATACTTTTATATTATCACTGTTACTTCGGATGGTGACAGTTGTGTCCTGCGGTCACACTTTCCCCTTGAAAAGTGGCATCGTCACCTCTACTTTCAACCACTGCCATACTTCTGTACGTTTTTCATTCTGTGGCTGTCGTTCTGGGTAGAGCAGTTCCAAGAAACTCCAAAACCCTCGGATATCTTAAAAAAAAAAAAAAAAAAGAAAGAAAGAAATCTGTTGATTGATTTTTAAATTTTTCCTTTCCAAAAGTTGGATACACACGGAGCTGTTTGGGAATTTTCTTTGCTGCTACCGCGCTGCCACCAAATGGAATTGACCAGCGGCTGTTACACTGTTCTTTGCCACTGTGCCTATGCTCAGAATCTGCTCACTGCTAAGCTGCAGACATGGATAGGGTCAGAAACGTAGGTCCCCCTCCCAACCCTCCCCCCACGGCAGACTGCACCAACCGTAACCCTTCCCTGGCACTGGCCATGGGAGTTCAGGAGGGAGCAAAGACACGGGGGCCAGCGCACCAGGCATGGCATTCATTCTAAACGGCAGCCATCATCAGATACCGTGATGAGCTGACTGTTGTCCTTTGAGAACCTGTGGCCTCAACCAGCCACCGCACTGATGTGGCCCAAGTCCACTCCTGGTCTTCTCTTTTGAAGCACAGCCTCTTTCTGAGCCGGGGTTGGGGAAGCCTGTCCAGATGTGGATGGAGCTCATTGCCCTGAGTCAGGGAGAGACAGGGTGCCCTCCCTGGGCTGGGGCTTCCTTTGCAGCCTTTCCCAGTGAGCTGTTCTAAGCAGTGCCATGTTCCTTGTTTGACAAGACAGTTTATAAAGTATTGCTCTTAAAAATAATTTAAAAGAACCCTGTCGTGTTGGCACCATTGCCTTAGTCCTCTGTGGGTTGGGCCTCCGCCAGAGCTCTGGTGGGAGAGACTGGCACTAACAAGTCTGGAGATGGGGGTCAAAGTAAAATTTTCTCCTGCTTTTGTTCACAAAATAATGAAGCCAGCTGCCAGTCCCATCCTCCCAACAGCACTTTAGGCTGTGGACTGCCATGTGTTCAGAAGACAAGTGTTTGGGGTAATCAGGTGCCCCAGCATTCTGGGTATGCAGAACCCAGTAATCCCCATGCCAGTTCCAGCAGAAATAGCCCCACGCTAGGCATTACCACAGAGAACGGCATTATGTGGCAGATCTGCACATGCCCTCAACCTTGATTTGGAAAACTAGTCATTAATGAACCCGCTGCCTTAAATGTTCTTGAATGTTGCAGTCAAGTGTCTGTCCTGTGTTGAAATCCACACAGAAATCAGTCCTGGGGACAGCCTTCGACCCTCCCCCCTGCCCTATTCTCTGCCGGCATCACGTGGTCTTCTCTGGAATAGGGGGCAGAGAGGACGGAAATTCTAGAGTATTTCAGGGGAATTGAACCTAGGAACAGTGTCCCACTTCTGAGAGCTGGAGTGAAGACGCTGGCAAGCTTGAGCCAGACACTGCACCTAGTAGTTCCTGAAACCGCGAGCGCCATTGCACGACTGTTGGGGATGGAGCCCGGTTCCAGCCATTGCAGACTCAGACTGTCTCGGGGGGTGCCAGCCCCTCCTTCCCCTCTCCCCGAGCCTTCTGGATTCTGTGCACCTTAGTTGACCACACTCCAAAATGCCATTTTTATTTTAACCCTTGATTCTGCTTTATGTACATAATCAGAATATCTATATCTCTCTATATATTTTTAATCATCTACATGTAAATGAAGCAATAGAATTCTAACATAAGGCCAAGAAATGAGATGAATGTTTGGGGTTTATGTTTTTTAAGGTAAATACGGGTATTGTTTTTAATTATTACCTTTTATTAAATTGTGGGCTTTAAAACCTAATGAACCCTATTAGCTACTTCTCTGTGCCATATGCTTCCCATGTTACCAAAATATCCCCCCCACACACACACGCACGCACTCTTCAACCAAAAGGGAAACCCAGCCTCCTGAGTTTCTTGGTCCTTTGTGTACCAGGTTAAAATACAGGCTCCCGGACAAGTATTTTTTATATTAAGATCTGGGACAAGAGAGCTTGGGTCATGGACTTGGGCCCCTATGATGTGACATCTCTGGCCAGGCTGTGGGTGGCAGTGCCTGGGCCCATCGGAGGTAGTCACTGCCCTGTCTTCCATTGCTCTGGACCCTATGTGTTGGTCTGTGGCTTCACGCATTAGCTGTTTGTAAACAGTGTTATCTGTATCCTAAGGAGGAACGCAGCATGTCACAGCCGATGGTTGGTGGGAAGCTCCTTTGACACTCCAGTTTTGATGAGGTGACTTTGGAGAATCGAAGAGGCCCTGATGACACTGATCTGTCATGGTTGCAGCATTTGAACTTCTGGTGTAAAAAAGAAATCTGTAAATCTATAACCTGGCAACCCTTTACAATCCTACATTTTAAAGACGGCTCTCTAATAAAATCTAGAACCACACAGCCCTCTATGGTCAAACACTCGTGACGTTTGTGCCTCTGCTTTTAAAGGTGCTGCAATGGGCAGTTGGCATGCCAGGGTTCGAGAGGGTGGGTGGCTTGAAGTGCTCACAGTTACCTGAGCAAGCTCTTAACGGCTGCCTCTGTTCCTGTCTCACTGTAAAACTGATGGTGTCTGTAACTGTCCGTTCTCCAGGGAGCTTCTCAGCAGACTAACACCCCCCATCCCCCCCCCCACCCCGTAGTGGAGATTCTGGTGCCTGGGTAGTCGTGGATTTCTGTTGGACATTTGAATGTGACAAACAAGCCAGCATAGTACTTGGGAAATACTACATGTGGAATGTGCACGTTTCCAGGGGCGAGCATTGTCCGGTCGAGAGGTTTGCAATGATTTCCTTCCTGCCAAAAATAAACACGTGAAACTGCGCCCTCTTGTGGATGGACTGCTTCTCCGGCGCTAGCGCCTCTTTCCGCTCTCTACGCGCTCTCTGTTCTCTCCACCTGCACGGCCTCCCGCCGGCCCCGCGGGTCTTGGGTGGGGGGTGGGAGGCGCTTCTGGAGAGCTGGGGTGGATGGGAGCAGCGCCGCAGCATCCCAGGAGCCACTAACCTTGACCCCGGGGCAGGCTGGAAGACCATCCGGCTCAATGGTAGGCCCCCTAGCGGCGTCTCCGCAGACAGAATCGCTCTCCTGGCCCAAGGATTCCAGCCCTACCAACGGGCTTCCGCACAGCCTGAGAACCGCAGCCCACAGGAGCCACTGGCATTGTGTGTGAGGTATGGTGTCTAAACCCAGAGCCCATGGGCACGCTGGCTGAGCTGCTGTGATCACCCGCTGAAGCATGGCAAGGGCTAGAAAGAGTAAGGATCACTGAGCCAGCTTTCTCACCCGGGGACATCCTCCAGGCACTGCCCTCAGCCCAGCCCCTCTGTACGTCAAAGTGAGAGGGGCAGCAAGTGCTCTTCTGCTGGAGAGTCATGGCGGAGCCTTGGGCCTGGCCACACCACTCATGACTGTTGCTTCATGGCGATCCCTAATTCAGATAACACCAGTGTCAACGGTCTCATTAGACAGGCCTTCTCCCCCATTTCATGGATGAGAAACCTGAGGCCAGTGAGACAATTCTTGGCAGTCTCTACTCTATCACAGGTTTCCACCAGGCGTGTATACTCGTCCTGAACAAGATAGGACACAGGATGTGGGTCAGCCCAGAAAACCTACTATTTACCCAAAAACAAAACCCCAAATCCCCCACAGCTAGTCTGTGCCATGCCCCTAGGTTGCCCTCTCCACCGTGGGGCAGCTGTCCAGCCAGAGAAGTCGCACCAGCTTTCCCCCAGGTTTTGGACTAGGCTATGTCCCTCTCTGTGTCTCTCCTTGGTTCTGCTCCTCCCCAGCCCTCTTCTCTCCCTCCTTTCTCCTTCTCTGGCATTGCCACCGTACCCACAACTGCTTCACACGTCTGCATACAACCAGACAGACAGACAGCTGAGAATTGTGGCAGGCCCTGAAGTAGAAGTGTCCCAGTGAATGTCCATAGATCCTCTGAACAGGTGGGAAGGAAACATACATCATCAAGAAGCCACTTATTTGGGACTTGGGCATACTTGGATTTCACCTCTGGATGTTTTCTTGTTTGAGCACGTATCATCCGTGTTCCAGGACCAAAGAATGAACAGGAAGCCAGGGAGGGGAGGGGAGGAGTGGCCGGGGAAAGCCAGCCTGGGAAGACAGTCTGTTGAGCTAATGGATGGGGGGAGTGTCGAGGGCTTGTGGCGGACTCCTCGGAGTAACTGGGAATGCTTACGTGGCAGATCTACACTGGGACTGCCCATGGGTCAACAGGCTGCTCAAGGCCAGAGCCACAGTTGGCATGGTCAGCAGCCTGGTCTCCAAGGAGAATATACTGGACCCTCCAGCACTGAGGAGGAGGATATGGGGGTTCTGGAGTTTTCCATCCCAAACTTCATTACAGCTCCATCTCTTAGCTCAGCAATTCTCAGCTGTGAATCGCTCCCATTAGAGTCACCTGATTAGATTAGAATCACCTGCCGGCTCCTAAAAACATAGATCCCTTAAGTCCACTCCAGACCATTCGAACCCCAAACCCTGAAAGTGGGCATCACATTTCTACTCAAAGTTCCAGGAAGGGCTGAGAACCCCTGTTCTGACCAGCAGTGGAGGAAAATAAATTCCCCAATTTGTTTCAGGCTTGACACCCAGGTATGGCAGAGGGGCCACGGACAGGACTTAAGGGAAATGGTTTGTATCGCTTTACCTAAAAGGCCAGCCATACAAGTCCATTGCTAAAAGGTCAGAAAACCCAGACAATTACAAAGAAAATCCCACACGGTCACTGGGAACCTTTCCCAAGGCAGGGGTGAGGAGAGGGACCTAATAGCCACACTCAGCTGACAGTTCCCGCTTTAACATTGAGGCGGAGCAGAGTAGATACCCCCACTTCACATGGGAGTGCTGCGTCACACTGCCCACCAAGCTAACCGAGCCTTGCCACCCCCCCCTCCCCTATCCTGGCCCAAGCGGTGTCTCCAGGGGGTAGACAGCACGACTGGGCAGGGTGACACATCCCCAGCTGCGGGGACGCAAAGTGGGGACACCTCCTTGTTTGCAGGGACCTAGGGCTCTTTTCTAGGCTGTCCTCAGTCCCTACCAGTTCCCACCACAGCGACTTCCAAGGAGCCCCTTTTGGGCCGGGTGACCGTGTCACTGCTCCTCTGTGGCCTGCAGCCAGATGGGAGGGGGCGGGGGTACAAGTGAGCCTAAGGCTGTTCTCCTGAACGGGGCGTGTGGCCAGGAAGTTTTCAGGCTGTGGGATCCAAGACCCCTGTCAGGCCTTAGCTCCCCTCCCACCCACCCCCAACGCCCTGTCCGCTCTGTGGAGGGTCGCACACCCCCTGCAGGACCTGGTCTCCACGAGGGGCGGCGTACTGCACCAGTCTGGGAGGGACTCCTGAGGAGAGCAGGACAGCCACGTGAAAACCCGAATTTAGGGAACTGGGGGGCGGGGGGGCGCGCAGGGCTTGAAGGGGCGGAGCTGGTTTCCAGGGTCTGTCCCGCCCCCTCCGGGCCACACCTACACCGTTGTCAATATTGACGCAGGGGTGGGGGGGAGCTAAGCAGGAGGAGGGGGTGGCAGAGTTCCTTTTTTGCCCCGGGGGAGGCACCATTCTGTGTGGGGACACGGACACTGAGCCAGGACCCAAATCAGTAGGGTTATCTGCTTCTGCAAGCACGAGGAAGAGGACAAAAGTGATGGGTGGCTGGAGAGAGCACTGCTTTAGCTAACGTGGTCAGAGAAGGCCCCTCTGGGGAAGTCTCACTTGGGTTGAGGCCAGAATGCAGAAAAGGAGCCATGGGAAGATTTAGGGGACAGGCTTCTGGCAGAGGTAACAGCAACTACAAAGGTCCAAATACTAGAATGAGGTCGGTGTCTTAAGAGACAATGAGAAATATGTAGCTAGAACACAATGAACAGGGAGAGTGAATGAAAATCCACCCAGCGGGACAGGCAATTGGAGGCTTTATTTTCGGGCTTAAAGCAGGGGAATGGGGTGATCTACTTATGGTTAAGAGATCCCTTTGCTTACTGTGAGAGGATGGACATCAGGGCCGAAGAGACCAGGAGACACAGAGGGAGGCCCAGCCACGTTCAGGATCCAGGTTGAACCAGACTAGCTAGTGGCAGCCGGTGCATGTGAGGGAGGGAGAGGAAGCCGGGGCAGCCCCCAGGTGTGGGGCCTGAGCTACCAGCTGGAGGTTCATGCCCTATCTTGGCCTCAGAGGAGGTCTCTGAGGGGCCTGACCCAGACGTCAACCGTGAGGTCAGATGCGCCAGGAGAGACGTGACCAGACAGATGAAGGATGAAAGGTGGGCAGGGGTGGTGGGGGGGCGGTGGTTCGGAAGGAATGGGAATCTGTGTTGGAAGAGACACTAGTGTTCCCCTGGGACTGGAACTTGAAAGAAAACAGACAAGAGGCAGCAGCTAAGGCCTGAGGTGTGTGCCCATTGATATCTGAAGGCCCCAACGGAGAGGGCAGAGTGGCCAGTGATGTGGGGAGAACACTCGGGCTGTGAGCAGTTTCCAGAGGAAGGAGTGGTCAGTGGGGTCCCTGGGTGGTAAGAGGGAGGGTAAGGTGAAGACAGACAACCATCCGCTCGCTGTGGCAAGAGTGGGCCTTGAAGACCAGGAAAGGGCCATTTCCAGGGAGTTCAGGAACGAAGGCCAAGCAAAGTACACAGAGGAGAGACTTTGCAGGGAGGAAGTGAGAAATGAGGACACGGGATTTTGCTGAGCATGGGGACAAAAGGAGTCAGGGAAACAGACATGTGCAGGCAGAGACAAACACACACACACACACACACCATCATATAAAGGAACAGAGGACTAAACAGGCGCTCTCACACACGCAAGGTCAGACACACACAGGGCCTAACCACCTGTCCTGGGATGCAGGCGTCCCTTCACACACAGGGACCCATTAACTCCGTTAACCACAGTCACATACTGTCAGTGGGTCCAACTGGGCACAGGTGGACCTAAACTTCCTGGAGTCACCCCCTCTCTATGACAGGGAGCAGTGAGGGGGAAGCTTGGACATGGGGAAAGGGTCTTGGGGCCAACAGGCAGGTTTTAGCAGTATGTCCTGGCAGAGGAGTCCCAATGGCTGGGCCTTGGCTAAGAGGTGGCCCTGTTCCTGGAGTTTCTGGAATGCTTCATTTTCAGCAACTCCCCCACCCTACAATCAGGAAGGAAAGGAGAGAGAAGCCCAAGGTGTGGGAAAGGTGTCTTCCTGCAAGGACTGGACTGGCCTCTCCCACGATGGGTATCAGGGCTCCCCAGGAGGGGCTGTGCTGGGCAGCAAGCCCAAATGGGGAGCAGTGAGAACAGAAGAGATGCTAGAGGGATCCCTGGCCCCCTACCCCATCTCCTGAAGTGACCTGGGTCTCACAGAACTAGACTGCCACCCCCTCCCCCAAAAGCTTTGGTTCTCCTTCCTCCTAAAGTGTGTAGGAGTAGCCTGGCCTTGTGGGGATCAGGGATCAGAGAAGGAAAGTCATGGTATATTCCACACCCCACATCTTGGACCAGCCCAGGCCACCAAGCTCTGCTGTCTCTGGCCTACAGTAGCCAGGAAGGGAGGCCTGGCAGACCAGCCATGGCCCTGGGGATGGGGTGGCTCTCAGGGAGGTGGGTCAATATTTGTTGACTGACTGTTTTTGAACCCAGCCCACAGGTGGTGGGGTGTCAGGCTGGGTGGGAGCTGGGATTGAGTTACAGTGCCACGACAGGTAGGGGACAGGCCCAGCACTGCCCGCTGGCCAGGAAAGAGAGCACCTTCCAGCAGGTAGGCCTGGCAGGGAGGGGGCTCCAGAATCAGCGGGGAGGGGTTGCTCCGAGTCAGGG